CTTCAAGGACCGAATCACAAATTGCCCAAGAGGCATACATTGCTGTGTGCTTTTCATTTTTGACATGCTTTGTGTTAACTGCTAGGATATTGATAACATTCAGAAGAAATGTTTCAGGCTAGAAGGCAAATAAGCATCATTTTCATATTGGATGACTGCAGTGTGACATGTGTTGTACACCGCTTGTTTTCATATTGGATGACTGCAGTGTGACATTATGTGTTGTACACCACTTAAAATAATCCTAGGTTAGTGCTTCATATTACTTAACTCCCTGACAGTAAGAACTGTTCCACTGTGGAATGGACTGTCTTGAAGGTGGAAGCTTCTCCCTTGACGAAGGTCTTTGAACAGACATTGGGTAACCACTTGTCAAGTGTGCTGAACTTTGGATTTCCTGCATTGATGAGAGATCAACTATGTGGGTCCTTGATTCCCCTTTCACCTCTATGTTTTTAATCCTGGTGATGTATTTTCAATAGAAGCATAATAGTCTTAATTTTTTTAAAAATGACTCAGGACTTGAGTCTAAGTGACTGGGTCTTCCATTTCAGAACAGATCAGATACTATTATTTCCAACCTGAAGCCAGAATTTACAATGCGACATTGAGAATATTTGTCATTTGATCTTTTATCCTTCATTCATCTGTGGTATATTTAACAAATGTTCCCCATCCCTCAGATTGTCATGGGCAGGCGGGTCGGAATCAGCTCAGTTAGTTAAACTGGGAACACACATGCGAGAAGACCTTTTACAACAGCCATTACAGTCTCTGCATGCTACAGAGTAGATGTACATTAGCAAGAAAATCTGTGTGTTGTAGGGGTGTGTAATCACTCCTAAGCAACAGAAACAAGCAGGCAAAGGTTTCGCTTTTTCTCACTGCCTCCATAGGCCACCCAATTTGCAACAGGCAGACCTGGAATTTAAATATCAGGATTGCTTAATCATCAAATGACTGCTTATTCCATTATATTTGATGGAATTTGAAATACTGAAAAGACAATGTGTTCTCCTTAGAGGCCTGGCATCAAAACTGTCTTTATTTCAAGGTTAAAACTTGGTGGCTCACCTGAATGTTTACTACTTAGACACATTAAGACTTCGTCTTCAAACTTGTATTTTAATCATTTGTTTTATTTGTTAGAATGTGTCTTAAAAATTCCTTAATGTGATTGTATTGATTGCATACCACCCTAAGTGCTGTCATTATAAGTCAGTTTAGAAAAATATTAATAAAGAAAAAATAAATAACAGATAGAATATGAGGAAATGGAGTGTTGGGAAACAATACAGCAGAAAAAAACCAGAAGTGGGTTCTTCACCTGGTCCTAGATCTCATAAAGATTACTTAGGAGTAAATGTTTGGTGGAGTTATTTTAGCCAATAAAGCAAATTACTGTCTTTGAGAAGGATTATATTTAATTGCTACAATTGGAGCCAAAGATGGAGAAGCTCTATACAGTCAGCAAAAACAAGACCTGGAGCTGATTGTGGCTCTGATCATCAGCTTCTTATAGCAAAACTCAGGCTTAAACTGAAGAAAGGAGGAAAAACCACTGGGCTAGTCATGTATCATTTAAACCAAATCCCTTATGAATACACAGTGGAAGTGAAGAACAGATTTAAGGAACTCAATTTGGTGGACAGAGTGCCTGAAGAACTATGGATGGAGGCTCGTAACATTGGGTCTTGCAGGGTTTGTTTGCTTTTTTTGCATTTCCGAAGGGTCTTGCATTATTTGTTTGCTTTTCTTTTTCTTTTTACCCTTCGGCCAGAACGGATTAGTCGCGTTTCTGATGGGTCTTGCAGTGTGTTGTAGTTTCTTTAGTGATTTTTTTCCTTCGGCCAGAATGGATTAATTGCATTTCAATGCATTCTTATGGGAAAAGGTGCTTTGACCTACGACCATTTCGAGTTATGATTGGTGTTCCAGAACCAATTAAGTTCGTAAGTCGAGGCACCACTGTACTTATAACAATGATAAAAGTTTTATCCAGCTCTTTTTTTACATGAAGCCAGTGCAGGTTGTCATTTAGATTTTGGGAGCCACTTATTCCCACAAAGCTGGTAATACATGATTCTTTATTTGAATGGGTCTACTCTAGTTGCCACTTGCTATGCTAAAATAAGTCATAACTAAAGTAAGCTCATTTGAATCATGGAAGCTTATGGAGAAGTTGACTCACCAAATTGCCATCGATTCAATGGGCCTACTGTAGTTCTACGTACTACTCTAAGCAGCAGGCTATTCATGTAGTCTCTTTTTAAAAAATTAACTAGGCTCTGTTGCCAGAATTAACATGTTTAGACCCAATCATGAATACGGTTGAAGATTTTGGAACTAATAAAAAACAAGACATGAGCACTGTTAAAATGTCTCCGATTTTATTTTCCACACCAAAAGAGGAGTTGCCTGAAGTAGAAAAAGAACCCAATCACACCCAAGTATTTAGTCTTGGCTTATATTCCAATTTTACCTGAGGTTATTTTTGTAGACTCTCCCAACCCATGATATAATGTTGGAAATCATTAGAATCTTTATTAAAATCTCCAGAATTGCTATTTTTTTTATTTTTGTTTTTTTCAAACAAAGATGATTTATTTAGAATACCAAGTGTAGTTATTGTTCCTCTGCAATTTTGTATAAACAAAATCAAATCCTTAGCTTCCTCTTTGAAAGTGTACATTTTTATAACAGAAGATTACTGATGCTGGAGCCAATCTGGGAAAACTGCTTATGAATAATAGGCAATATAGTTGCAGCAAGCAAAAATGTGTTTTTAATATGAAAAAATCACAATTAGGTTGGGCCTAAGTAGTGATTTGAACTGTTATTCAACCAAATCCATTCTGGTTTAGTGACTCTGGTTAGCAGCTCAGAATTTGGTTGACAAGATTATCATGTCCTCCACAGGGAACAAATCCAGGTTCATCTGACAGGACAAATTTGTATTTTATTTCTTTCCAGATTAAGTAAAAACAATTGTTCAGCAAGTTATGTCACCTATTAACCTGCTGAAGCAAATAAAAGATAGAAAACAATGAGCAGACCTGTTTACTTACACTGAACTACAAACTCAGAAAGGAGCTTTTTCCTTCCTGACTGGGAGGTCAGAATTTCTTGATTCTGAATAGTCTAAAACAGTTGGAGATAACAGTTGAATCAGGAAAAGAGGGGTTCTAAAAGAAAGGCTCACAGGCCTGAGGGGGGGAGCAACAAACACAAGGAGGAGGAAAATGAAAGCAGAGTGAGTGTTGGAAGGGGGGCAAAGAGAAGCAAAATAGATGAAACAAGGAGAGCTGAAGGAAAGAGTGAAGTGACAGGACTAAGCTACACGTGGTTTTCATTTACACAGGACAAACCCGATAGTCTTCTGTGTTGTTTTCTGAAAGGCGGTGGTTTGAATGAGAATATCAAATGCCTAATCCTCTTCTTGCCAATGGCTTTTATGGCTAATCGCTCACTTCTCAGCTATTTTTAACCTCCAAGGCTACGCTGGTTCCATCCTTTGTCAGGGTGAAATGACAAAGTCAGGCAGCAGATTTTGAGTACAGTATTATAAAAGAGCAGGAAACTGATAATACTTGTTATTCTTATGTTATGTATCGCTGAACTTGGGGACAGGTACATGTGGAACTTTTAACCTCATGGTGCCCAGATAAGATGGCTAGCTTTGGATATTATGCATCTGGAACTGGGTGAGTGTGGGGGCACTATTTTCTACTATTCCTCAGCAACAAAAAGCTGTAGAAGAGTGGTAAATGAGCAGAAAGGTTACATGTCTCTTTCACCTCCACTATTACTCATAATTGAAAATCGTTTCCTAATTACATTTCTCAACAACATAATACTAAATAGGCTATCAGAATTTCTTAACATGTTTAAAATTAAAGCACTGGAAGCTACTAATTCTAACCATTGGTCCACCTAGCCCAGTACTGTCTAACTGGTTCTCTAGAAGCTTCAGGGAGGGTCACAGATTCAATGTTCCTAACCAACTGTTAACCATGTAGAAACCTACTTCAGCTTCCAAAACCGGATGACATGAGGTGAATTCAGGGTGGATCTGATGTAAATCAATTGGGTTTAAATAATTATTTAAATTTTAAAAATCATTTTTGTTACAATTTAAAATTCCTTGGTTTAAAACATTATTTAATTTGATTTTTTAAAAAAACCCACAGATTTTTATCAATCCTAGGAGTATTTAGGTTGAAGTGGTCTGAGTATTGTCCTGTGTATGAAGTCAACTTCTGGCTGTAAAAGACCAGTCACTCAGGACAATCAGTCTTTTTAAATACTTACTTTAAGTTTAGAGGTGGGCTTTTACCAACATGTTTTTTAATTAAGAATAATTGAGCACTGCATTTTATTCTGGTGTATGAGGATCTGGTCTCTAGTTCTGTGTGTGTGTGTGCGCGTGCATTGATTCTGGCAGGATAAATGGGTTATTCATTTCACATTTTGACCATTAAGTGAAGTAACTTCACATGGGCCATTTTCACAATTTTAGTGTAGATTTGTGATATAAAGTGCTTGGTATAATATAAGCAAAAATTGTAGAAGGAAATGTTAAGACTAGATGTTAAACCAGGCAAAGCATTTTTAAAAATATAGAAAGTGAACATTCCTGCAAGCAGATTATTGCAGTATTAGACAAGACACCCACTGGTGCTTGAGCTAAGCAGCTCTGGTTTGCTCATGTATTTTATAAGCGCACATGCAGGACAATTAGGTTAAATTCAAAGAGGAAGTAGAATTGCATGCGAGCATTTGGAGGAATAGTGAGTTATCTCACTGACAGCTTTACCCAGTGCCAATCATACATTACAGCTCATTGCAGGTTCCACTGAATCCGTGAGACCATGTTGAAGTAGGGGAAAGTCCATTGTTCTGCTACTGTGATTGTGACTTCAACAAAGAAGAGATAGTTCAGAACATTGCCCTTGCAGAACACTGAGCTTTTACTCTTCTGTATGACACAGGATAGATGTCACAGGTTAGGTCAGAAATGCCAGAGAACAGATGTCCATAATGGCATGGAAGAGGCAGACTGAATATATGTTTGAATTGGTGGGCATTTAAATCCCACTTTATTTTCTTTTTTAAAACCCATTATCTGTCTCCATGTATGCTGTTCCTAAAAAAAAGTGCTTTTAAAAAAATACCATGATTTATTGAATTTCCAGCAAGAATATTTCCACAGTGCTATTAAAATAACAGCTCTTATTCTTAGATAGTTTTGGCAGGGCTGCTCTTAATACACTAAAGAACAGCTCCATGAAGTATATCCACATCAGTAAAAGAAAACAGATGCCTCATACTTTCAGAGGTATTGGAAAGTGTAGCACAGTTTTGCATGCTGCTGTTAACAGATCGCCATTTAGCTTTAATTCCAGGAGAATTCTGGTACTGTCACAATCATTTTGTGTGTATGTGTGCGAGGAACTTTCCCCTGAATATAAATGAAACATAAAATGGCAAAAGTCAAACTGCTGCCATTTCAAAATTAATCACATTGTATGCTTGTAAATTTTTTTTAAAAAGAAAAATAATTGTGTTGCTTTTAAACACAGAGAAGCAAGAATTCATGGGAAATGTCCAAGAAAGAAGAAGAAAAACAAGAAATAAGAGAAGGAAACCAGGAGAAAATTTATTGTTTGAACAACAAAGAATAATGTAAGTCTCATTATTATTCTACTGCAATTCCTTTTCCTTTGTTTAAGGAGATATGCACACCGCAGACTCCCACCTATGTGTAATTTGTCAGATAAGGCACTGTGAGTACTGTATACTGTAATCAATTATTCATCCAAATTCAGAGTATGGATGACCTCTATCATCACCACATTCTTTCAAACAGATTACATGTTAGGATCACATAGACTCTAGATCTGTACATCTCATTACAGTCAACTCTAACTGGTAGGTGACAATTTTCCAGGATTTCAAACAGGAATCTTCTCTAGCTCTACCTGGAGATCCCTGGTACTGCCTGCTGTTCCCCATTTGATTACTAACCAGGTTCACCTCTGCTTAGATTCCAAAGCTAGGGTGTGTTAAAGATGCTATGCTAAACTCTTTATGCTTATCTGTATTGGCTAGCTTTGCTGGTGAAGCAAAAAGTATAGTTTTAAGTTGCAGAATATCTACTCTGGGCAATTCCCTCTCTGTGCCTGTGCCACTATCACTGTGTGCATGGTTAGAGTCCGTGTTTGCCCTTCCTGATGGGAAAGACAGGCCAAAAAACAGCCGATTATGCTTCACTCTATGAAGTTGTCCCAAGCGCCTTCAAGCAACATTACCTGCCTGAGCATTTTACAGGGCATGAAAGATAAATGGCACATGGGTCTTCCCAGTTTTGTACAGCTGGTCACTCATGACACATGCCAGAGGATGGCTTTACACTAGCAAGGATGAGATTTTTTGTGTGCCGCCTGGGCTTTTTAAAAAAACTATTGGATAAAAATTTAATTTTTACTAACTTCAACATGGTCTCACGGATTCAGTGGAACCTGCAATGAGCTGTAATGTATGATTGGCACTGGGTAAAGCTGTCAGTGAGATAACTCACTAGTCCTTCAAATGCTCACATGCAATTCTACTTCTTTGAATTTAACCTAATTTTCCTGCATGTGCGCTTATAAAATACATGAGCAAACCAGAGCTGCTTAGCTCAAGCACCAGTGGGTGTCTTGTCTAATACTGCAATAATCTGCTTGCAGGAATGTTCACTTTCTATATTTTTAAAAATGCTTTGCCTGGTTTAACATCTAGTCTTAACATTTCCTTCTACAATTTTTGCTTATGTTATACCAAGCACTTTATATCACAAATCTACACTAAAATTATGAAAATAGCCCATGTGAAGTTTTTGTAAAAACTATTGGATAAAAATGCCGGAACCAAGAGCGAGCAAGCCAATCCTGTATCTTTGCCAAGAATGTCCCATGATCAGAAACAAAAGGCTAAAAGATATGATGCTGGAAGATGGGCCCCTCAGGTCAGGAGGTGTCCAACTTACTACTGAGGAAGAGCGGAGGACAAGGACAAGTAGCTCCAGAACTAATGA